TCTCCAGCTGCCGAGTGAACCGGGAAGATTTGCAATTAAGAAAAAAAAAATTTTTAATGTGCGAGGTTACCAATATAGTATTTCAAAGAGCACACCCCGGCGAATCCAACATCCCCCCCGGGTGACAGACTTTAAGAAAATAGCGTGCTCGGCCCCCTAATCTGGGCGCCGGGTTCTCCCCCATAGTCGCCCCCGCAGGCTGGAGGCTGGCGAGCCAGGTGTGTCCTTTGCCCAGCCGGCCGAGGCGTCCCGCGGGAAGTTGGCCGCCACCGCACGGAGGGGGGCGGGGGGCGGCAGGTGCGCGGCGCTGGATGAAAAACTGCTTGTTCAAAGAGAATCTCTGCCTCGCCCATCTTGCCCCCTCTCCACCACCGCCCTAGCTTTGGACGGGGGGAGGAAGGGTGGAATGGGAACCGACAAGCCCGAAGTGCAGCTTTGACAACTGTCTTGCTTGCTGAGTAACTTAATTCTAACCTTCTCAACCCTCCTGAAAACCTGCCTGTTATTTTACTAGTTAATGTTTTCTATTACCATGGTGTCGAAACCCGACGGCGCTGAACGATCTTGCGGTGTTCCCAAGGCACGCTATAGAATTTTTGAGTTCGATTTGCATACACTTTTCTAAACAAAGAAGTATTAAAACACCTCAAAAATGTACTTAAACAGTTGACAAAAATTTGGAAATTTATTTTTGAATGCATTTATTTTCTTTGCACAAAAAAATGGGAAAATAAAAGAGTTCCCCGAATATTAGCATTGTGTTCTTGAGGGGTAGAGAGCATTTAATAAATATAAAACTAGTTCAAATACAGGTAGAATCCCGTTTTAACATACGTATAAAATCCAGTTTTATAGGAGGCCATCCCTACATCTTGGCTGGCCTCCTGTAGTGTGCCTACTTTCACGACGGGGATACAAAAGGCACTCTTTGAGATGAGAAATTCTTCATACCACATCTTTATGTTGGAGCAATGGATGGTATGATAACATTGAAAGAAAAAGACATTAAAGTACTGAACCCTTTTCTTTTCTTTTTGCAAAAACAGTGTAGGAGTAATGCCACAATGACATATTTATATCTATATAATTAAACCTTTCTCCAGTGTTAGCGAAAGGTTTTGTCTGCAGTAGTTGTATTGATACTTCAAATGAATAAGCATGCTTACTTCCTTGAATTCTTCAGCTGAAGAAATCACTGCTGGAAGTTTGTCCTAGCCTAGATGCCACAGTTTTGCAGCTTTAGACCCTGTACTGCCAAAGAGAAAGTTAACTTAGGTCGTTATGAAATAAAGACGATTTCTTGGAAAGATATAGGTTAACAAATTCTCAGGCAATGAAATCCGCAAAATTCTCTTCCAATTTCTTTCTGGGATCTTGATGTTCTGATCAGCTAGAGAACAATAACTTTCTTCTGTAAAGATGTGTAGTCAGTTACCTGGACTAATTGAGCCTTCCAGTAGCATTGTTTCCAGAGTTGGAAGAATGACATTAAATCTTCTTCCTGGGCTTGTATATGTCTGTCCAGTACTAAACAAGAGGCTGAAAAGGAAATGTATCTGGGCAGATACTTTTTCTTCTGCCTTGTAACTGGTTATTTCTATATAGTTAAACACTGAAATCTTTCCTTATTTTTTTTGTAGGCACATTAAGATAGTATATTTTTCCCACACTAAGAATGGCATTTTTGGTCTACTTTGCATGCCTCAAACACCCTTTGGTGCTGGGGGAGGCGGTGGGAGGAAGGAAAATGAATGAAAGATAAAATTTTAAGCTGTTAGGCATCCAATTCAGTATGTCTATATGACAACACCTTAGTCAATATGGCTGCTCAAAAAGATAACTGAGACATTCATCTGTTTCTGAGACAACTCAGATATGCATTGATTCTTATTTATCTCCTTACCACTTTCATCACCTACCCATCCCTAAACACTACCTCTCCTCTTTCCAACACACACAGTCTTCTCCCACTCCCAGGGCCCTGGTGGTTTGCAAAGGGAAAGCATTCTATTTTGTAAGAACAATTATTGTGTCTGATTATTTCATATTCCATTCTATCCTGTAATTATATCTTATAGCTCTCTTGAATTCAATAAATATGTTTAATAGGATTTTTAAATTATTAAAAATATGTCAATTATTAGTGCATTTGCAAAAATAAGGAATTCTTTGGACAAAAAAATTTCCGTATTATGGAACTAAAAAAATTTTTAGGACAAAAAGTAATATAGAAAGTCGGTAGTGGTTCTGACATCTGAGTGAAAATTTCACTGAAAGAGCATTAATTTATTACTTTCAGAAAGATTTCTTACTTTAAAACGCTCCAGTGATTCAAAACAAAAGAACTCATAATAGATTTAAAGTGTTCTTAGAAGAGAGAAAGAATAACATTATGGTTTATGACCTACAAGACTTAAGATACAATACTCTTCTCTTCTATTATTGCCTCAGAACAATTCTATACTTAACAAATTTTCCACTCTATGTGGTGGTGGCCCTACAATTAACTGAGTCATGTGCAATATTCATATTCCCAGAAATATAATTAAAATTTCACTTATTTTTCAATATGAAATTTAAAGCTTTGAATGTGTGTTGTAGATTAAGTTTGTTTTTAAATGTATGAAGATTTGAATATTTTAAAATATATAGGAATTACAAACAAGTTTTTTAAAGGTAAGCTAAGGAAAATATATATAACTGATTATTTAAAAAGCCATGACACTTAAAATACTTGCTCTTCTAAGAAATAAAATCTTTATACAGTGCATTTTGTTAAAAGATACTATAGAATTTTAAGATGTAAGAGATTATGAAGTTAACCTAGTTAAACCTCCTTTGTGTATTCAAAGTATAATTCAAAAACTTCGCAGAAATTCAACATACAACTACTTAGTTTCCAATAGTTTATTTATTTATAAGTTGGTTATTTTGAACTTGTAATGTAATCCCTGTTGAAAAAATAAATGAGATAGTTAGATTCCCAGGATGTACTACAAGTGCTTATAAAATGCAGGTGAAAACACAGAATCATAGACGTTAGAAGGACTGGATAGGATCTGACTAGTCATCTAATCCAATTGACTTCTACAGATAAGGAAATTTGTACTACATATTGCTAATATAAAGGGTAAGGAAATACTAATATATTAGGCAGTAAATACAATCAAACATTTAATTGAATGAAGAGTAATATGGGTTTTATTTTAAAAGTTTATGTTTAAAACAAGAGAGAATATAAATGGAAACTTTTGAAAAATACTTTCTAAAGAGAATTTCCAGACATTTTTTAAGTATTAGAGCCTTCTTTTTCTTCCTCCTCTGTCTTTTCTCTCTGACTGCAGTGGTTACAACTCAGCTACTCTTCTCTTCTCACCTTTTCCCTTTTCTCTGGCATCCACTGTGCAGGACTTGTATAATTAACTTTTCTATAACATTGTTTCAGGTCTCAACAGCAATGACTAGTTGTCCACTTACTTCTGGCTGTTATGGACCGAATGTTGTGTTCTCCCAAAATTCATATGTGGAAATCCCTATGTCTTTGGGAGGTAATTAGTTCATAAGTGTGAAGCCCTCATAAAAGGGATTAGTGCCCTTATAAAAGTGACCCAAGAGCTCACTTGCCCCTTCCAACATGTGAGGACACAGTGAGAGAAAGCCATCTGTGAACCAGGAAGCAGCTCCTCACTAGACACCAAATCATCTCCCGGCTAGTGCTTTGACCTTGGATTTCCCAGGCTCCAGACTGTGAGAAATAAATGTTTAAGGCACCCAGTCTATGGTATTTTGTTATAGCAGCCTAAACGGACTAAAACATTGGCCATTAATAATTCTCAGCTAACTACACAGGCAGGTTGGAGAGTAGGTGAAAAATACTCTGCTCACAATTTCTGGAATTTATCCAAACCATTTTCATTTGCACACTTCATTCCTGGCTTGCTTGTTCCTCATGATCCCATGTTTAGCTTTTGCTCTCCTCCACCCAGTTTGCTGAGATAGCAAATTTGTGTTCACCTTTCCAGCTCATCTCTGAGCTTATCTCTTTCTCTGTTCAGATCTACATTTTGCAGACAAAGGACCCACCAACTCGAGTATCCCTTTGGAGCATTTCATGTGAGAGTGGATAGATTTTGTTGGTTTCCTTGAAAAAAGTTTGCGATTTCTCAGTAAAGATGTGAGGCTTTTTCTGGCTCAAAAAGGAGCAAGGAAATAGGAAGAGAGCATTAAGAAGAGAGCCTTTTCTTGAAGTAAATGGGTAAGAGGTGGAAGAAAGTGGGGAGAGGGAAAAGG